ACCTTACTTTACGAGTACGTTTTAATTCAGACTTATTCAGTTACATTTTAGATACCCAGTCATAATATGAAGAATACAAATTATTTCAGGAAAATTTAATATTTGTCATATGCAATTCATGTGTGTACATTATTCTTCTATTATTACATCATATTGATATTCGTACTGGTATTAAATCGCACAGTTTAATGGGTAAATTAATTGATCAGAGACAAATTCAACAAACACACACATTGTTAGGCTTTTATTTGTGCACATAACAATCGATCTATGGAATGTATGGTGGATGCTTTGTCCGGAGCGTCTTTCATGGGCTTTTGACTGCTATATTTTTATTAACCACCAGATGGTGCTGTTTTCGACACTCGAAGCTTTGAATCTTTTCCCGAAACAGTCAGAGGAAGCCTCAGTGCTTCAAGAGGCTTCATTTGCCCATCACTAGTAAACCGTATCCGAACAGGGCGAGACGAGAGGGGAAATCGAAGACAGGCGAAATCGTTCAGGGCAGGCAGAGAACAAAACTAGAAAACAGGCTAGAGTACAAACACGGGAAAACAGACTATGAACAAGACTAAGGCTGGACTCGCTGGAAGAGAGAAAAGTGTTAAACAATACTCGACGATCTGAGCAGGAACTGAGTGGGTGTTATATAGTGTGTGTGATTGGTCTTAGGTGAGCGTGTGATTAGCAAAATGGCAGATGGGAAATGTAGTTCTAGGTAACATGACACAGTCTGTGCAATGTGAGAGTCAATATGATGGAAGGGCGACCTCTGGTGGCAATCAGACGGAAGGCCACAGACCGGATTCATGACAAATCGCATTTACTGTGGTTAATCGCGATTAATCACATTATGCACAAAATTCAATAATTCAAAAGTAGTGTGTTGTCCACTGTTTTCATTTAAAAGTACTGCAATATGAACAAAAGTACTTTTTACTGCAGTATTCCTTTTACATAGCCTAGTAGCAGTTCAGATATTTATTGTAAATCTCAATTTAAACATTAATGTAATCAAATTTAATTTAAAACCAAAGCTATTTGTCACTGCAAGGACATTAACTTTTTATAGAAAATATTTTATAGTTTGTTATAGAAAAACAATGCTCAGTGTCCAGAGCCTCCATCATAACATTATAACAGGCACCTTCCGAGTACAGACCTGCACGATCGTGGGACCCAACGCAGCAGAGTGCGGTGTGGGACAACACCTGATGGGTGAGTGCGGGCGGATAGAGACTCGTGTGTGTGTGTGTGTGTGTGTGTGTGTGTGTGTGTGGGATGCGGGAGAATAAGGGTGTACTCACACTAGGCAATCTTAACCGCGCTCGGGCGCGTTTCGTTTAGCCGTCCCTGGCTCGGTTGGAGCGGGGGGGGATAGACACGCGTGTATAGATGTGTGTGTGTGTGTGTGTGTGTGTGTGGGATGCGGGAGAATAAGGGTGTACTCACACTAGGCAATCTTAACCGCGCTCGGGCGCGTTTCGTTTAGCCGTCCCTGGCTCGGTTGGAAGAGTTGGGCCAGAGCGCAGATCAGATGGACTCTGGTGCGGTACGCATGTAGTGTGAGATATACAGTGGGTATGGAAAGTATTCAGACCCCCTTAAATTTTTCACTCTTTGAGCAAAGGGTCTGAATACTTAGGACCATGTGTTATTTCAGTTTTTCTTTTTTAATAAATTTGCAAAAATGTCAACAATTCTGTGTTTTTCTGTCGATATGGGGTGCTGTGTGTACATTAATGAGGAAAAAAAATTAACTTAAATGATTTTAGCAAATGGCTGCAATATAACAAAGAGTGAAAAATTTAAGGGGGTCTGAATACTTTCCGTACCCACTGTATATTAGGGCTGTAAGCGGTTAAAATTTTTTTATCCAATTAATTACATGATGTGGCGAGTAATTAATCTAATTAATCGCACATCAAATTTTGCTGAGAAATTACTCCCAAAAGATAATTTAAAGTAATTTGTTGTGTAAAGCATCAAACAGACATTACAAAAAGTAGCTTCAGCAAGAAATACTTTGTTTGATAACATTTCTTATATATACTCTTTTGGACCATGAGGGTGAGTAAATGATGACACAATTGCCATTTTTGGGTGGGTGAACTATACCTTTAATAATCAATTTTATTAATTTTATTTTTATTACTATGGAAATATGAAATTATTACTTTAATGAAATTATACTCTAAATAATAAACTAAAACTGCCAGTAGGTAGTGGTAAATGTCTTAATGATTAAGTCATAGAGTCATTTATTCATTCATTTGATTCGTTCAAATGGCTGATTCATTCAGGAGTGAAGTAAATGGTTCTTTATGAACAACGTAATATATTTATAATAATTTATAATTATCAACACGCCACATGGTTCACCCAATTCGTTCAAAACATGCATTAAGAAATGAAATGCCGCCGTGTGTTGCTTGGAGACGAACACTTCTGCTTTGTCTTTATATTTTTGTTGGCAAAATTGAGCAAAACAAGCAACATTGTGTTTAAAATAACACAATATTAACTTCTTATTTATTGTACTGTTGTGTAAGATTGGTATCACATTTGCACTTGTGTGATATTGCTTAACTATATAATGTAAATGTGAGACAAAAACTCAAACGGGCATTTTTGCCCCATATCTTGCAGTGAGTATGTTATATTTAAAATAACACAATATTAACTTCTTATTTATTGTACTGTTGTGTAAGATTGGTATCACATTTGCACTTGTGTGATATTGCTTAACTATATAATGTAAATGTGAGACAAAAACTCAAACGGGCATTTTTGCCCCATATCTTGAATTTTAGGGACATTATAACTATGTTCTCTAGGCTCCATCACGCAGTGAGTTGCTGCCCTGCACCATATTTGTCATCTATCAACTGTAGGGCTGTCAAAATGACTGAAAAACTAAATTCGAATTTTAAATATTATCAAAATTCGAATTATATTCAAATTTAAAAGGCATAATTTCAGTTAGAGGGGAAAAAGCTTTTGGCTTCTCTCCTGAGGCCACAAGAGGGCGCATCGCGCAAAATATTATGCACATTTCTTCAAAGCGTAATAAAATAACACTATCTTTGGGGGAAAAAAAGTGCATAATGTTTAAAGGGGTCATAGGATGCTACATGCACTTTTACAAGTTGTTTGAACTGAAATGTGTGTTGGCAGTGTGTGTCCACAACCACCCTATAATGATAAAAATCCGCCTGGGTTTTTTTTTTATATATATTTTTTTTTATCTCGTTAAATGTTTTCCCCTTTCTCAAATCGAGCTGATCTCAGATGCCTGTCTGTGTGACGTCACACAGACAGGCCCCTCCCACGATAGTTTGATTGACAGTAGCATTTCAGCACAGACTGGACTGGTTTCTTACTAGTCAGCTGCAAATATGGCTTGACCCCAAAAAAATTCTAACAAAAGGTTTCTCAGTGGTTTACAGTAGTATCAGATGTACTTAAAAACATACTAAAAGTTTACCAAAGTTTGACTCCAAGAAAAGCCCCATTTTCAAAATGGCGGCTGTCAGGTCCTTAAAATGACCATTACTCCTTTGTATTCCTCCAAGACCAGGAATACTGGTCCCTGATACATGTTTTGGCCATGTAATATTCTAATTAGCATATTTGCATGATAGATAAGTGATTACAAGTACAATTATATATTAAAGCAATTGGTTACAAGCACATTTATGTGAAAAATAAGTAACAAAAGTTTTTGTACAAAAAGTACAAAAGTAATTGCATATTTCTCCTTTCTCATATCGTTTTGCCTAGTGTTGGTGTTTTCTGTGGTTCATAACCATTCTTTTGATTCCAATAAAGAATAAATTCATTAGAACTGTGTGGCACTGTAAAATTAGTCAAAACAGGGCTGCCACATGAAGGCTCAGTACCGCTAAACCCTTTTATTTTATTTTTTTATATATATTTTTATTTTTATAATGCGTTTAGTTTTTTATATATTTTTAATACTTTTTTTTATATCTTTTTACATTTTCTTCAGTTGTTTCCTCTTATTCTGGTTTATTTTTTATACTTTTTTGCACTGTGACCTTCACTAGAGTTACCATTAGTCGTAACACTCTTCCTCCCATAGAGGTTAATTATAGTGATTCTCACAATTCCCAACTTGACATGGTCCACAAGCAGGCATGCATGGCAGTCCATATGCCCTGCAATTGCACCGTGTTCGGCAGGCAGTTGTGCAATTACAGTGGATCATCTGCAGGAGGCTTTCTGGGGCAGCAGTCTTACTGGTCATAACTGGCAGGAACCGGTTCCAATCCACACCATGATCTGGAAGTAAACTCTTTGGCAGTGCTATTTGGTTGAGGACTCAGTTGGAGGCAGATGTTCTGGGGTAACAAATTATTTGGTGGTAACAATTTTCTTGCTAAAAAAGTTGTAGAACAAAGAGGCAAGTGAATCAGTACTGCCACACTGCCATTGCCTTGGTCCCATGGTCCTCTATGACATTCCTTGCTTGATGTGGGAGCAGAAACACATTTGCACAGGACTGGATGGTTGATTCACCATTCACAAGTTTCTGGAATGTTGTCTGTTTGCCAACACTAAAAATGCGTGAAGTTGTATCACATCCTGTGAAGGCCCAGGACTTGTTTCATCTCACTGATGTTGTACACTTTTTAGTAGCTTTGGACTTGTCTGAACGAAAATAGAGGCCTCTATTGTTCATCCCAACATAGTAGAGGAGAAGAATGAGTAAGTCTGTATCCTCCCCTATCAAGGTTGTGGGCTGATGTTCTGAGGCCTTGACTGCAGCTTTGACAATGTCCACGTCTGCATCACCTGATGCATTGATAACAGTGCAGCCCTTCTTCTCCATCTCCTCGGTCATAAGAAGTCCTTGTTTGTTGCAAGATCTGGAAAGGAAATAATCCTTGCGTCCCACAAACTCAGTCTCTGCAATGAAGTTATCGATGGGGTGAGTGTTTTCACCACGTCTCTGATGCAGTTTTCGACATGATCAGGAACCGTTGGAACAGCAAAGCAGGATCAATGGTTCGGTCTTGACCAACTTTGATGGTGGAGTCATCTGCAAGGGTTTTTGCCTGGTCTTTCCGTTTGAAGGATATTCCAAAAATGGGTTTTCCAATCATCTTTTCAATGATCTCATTGCCAACAGTTTCAAACTCATGCACATTCACCTCCTCTTTGGCAACAACACCAGTTACAATGTTTCTCAGAGATGAGTCTGGAGAGAATGGTGTGCAGATGATAAGCTTTTCCTTGATCTTTTCTAGATCAGAGTGATCTCTTTTCATCCTTGCTTCTGAGGATTCTCGGTGCTGCTCACTGGTCGTGTAGGTGAGGTCATTGAATTCCTGCATGGCGTTGTTGTATTCAGATGTGATGGGTGTAGACATGGTCCACAATGCTCGCATTTCTTCAGTCATTCCACTTCCATGGGTCAAGCCTCCACTGCTTTTCAAGGATCACATCAATGTCTGCTCGATGACAAGGTCAGAGCTAAGGCCTGCCCAGTACTGGTTGCTGCGGCGGATAACATGGAAACCCCTGGAAACTTGTCATGTACATCAGGGTGTCTGGTCTTGAGTTGGCACATTTCTTGGAGGTAGAAATATGCTGATTTCAGGTACTTGTAGTGCCCAGCGGCGGCAAATATTGGCAGACAGTCCAACATTGCGCGCAAGTGCATCTTCCAAGATCCTGTACGATCTGCTATGATCAGAGCTTGGGCTGTCTGCAGCATCTTCTGATAGTTTACCCAGAGCCGGCTGGTTTTTGACCTTGTGCTAAGGTCTGCCCTCTTCGTGTCCACCTTTTTCTTGATTTGGTTCAGCATATCTGATGCTGCAGCACTCTCCAAAGTTTTTTATTTCATTACCATGAATGAGTACATCTCTCCAGCTTGGTTCAACAATAACTCAAACTGTGAGTCATCCTCCTGCAGCTCTGACACAACCAGGTGATTGAGACATCTGTCCACCAGCAAATGTCCATGAAAAGCTCTTTGCACTGACTTTCCAGTCATCATGTGCTGGACGGCATTTGACCATAGACAACTTCCATAATTTTCCTGAGTCCTGTGTCAGTGTGCCTATTGCACCAAGTAGGTTCATAAAAGTATGAAAACCTCCAAGCATTAAGACTATGCTTTTCAGGGGACTACTCTGTGGTGCATCCATGATCATCTCTGCTGCTTTCCAGTACTCTGGGTCTTTCTGGAACTGTATCAGTATGTTATATCCATTACGAAAACTACTACTGCATAAGTGGTGGTAAACACAGTCTGCAGCATGTAGATCATGGCACTGGCACTTCTTTTTGGTGGCTCAGCTTTATTCTCTTGTTGGATTTTAATGTCTTTTTTTATTTATGTACTTCTGTCGACATTGAGTGTACTATTTCACCAGCGGAAATGTGTACGTCGTCGCCTCTTTGTACACTTGCATTGTTGATTCCATCAGCTCCCTTCTGATGAACCTCAAACACATCAGAGCCATCTCTAAAGTTTTTACAGCAAATGGGGCAAGTTTCTTGGTTTACAACAACATGACTCATGGTCAAAATTGCATTTGGAGTGTACTTTTTCCTCAAGCTAATTCAACAATGGCATCCTCTCTTAACACACTCACATTGTTGGCCTTTTTCATGTGTTAGAAATCTGGGTGGGTGGTTTAAGTAGTCAAGGATGAATTTTGTTTGAGCAAAATTGTATACACTGTGCTGCCAACAACATTTCAATGAGGCAAGCAATATCAAATGTCAGTATTCTCTTCCACCATCTTCTGAATTGCTGAAAATTGTGAATTTAGTTTTGTTTGGTTTAGTATAATGGCACCTTTATACTCTAAAACATCTATAGAGGATGCATTACATATGTATTACCTTATTCAAATTGAAATGAGTGACCATTTTAGAGGGTTCACACACAGGCCTCTGTTCGGGCTAATTCAGAGTTGTTTATGATCAAAGTTATACAACTCCAATTTAAGTTACTTTTGGGTGCAATAACTTTTACATTGAATTTCAAGTCTGTTTTTTGGCAAAAAAAAGGGTATGTGTCCAAAAACACGTACTGAGTAGGAGTTACATGACATAGGCTAAATCTTTTACATCTCTGGTTCACCCCAAACAATGATAAAACCTTACAGTAATCTCACAAAATCATGTATTCCATAAGTACAGTGGGTACGGAAAGTATTCAGACCCTCTTAAATTTTTCACTCTTTGTTATATTGCAGCCATTTGCTAAAATCATTTAAGTTAATTTTTTTTCCTCAATGTACACACAGCACCCCACATTGACAGAAAAACACAGAATTGTTGACATTTTTGCAGATTTATTAAAAAAGAAAAACTGAAATACCACATGGTCCTAAGTATTCAGACCCTTTGCTGTGACCCTCATATATTTAACTCAGGTGCTGTCCATTTCTTCTGATCATCCTTGAGATGGTTCTACAGTTATTATGTGTTTACTGCGTGCAATATAACAAAGAGTGAAAAATTTAAGGGGGTCTGAATACTTTCCGTACCCACTGTATATTCAATAACTACAAATTTGAGATAATGTGCTTGTAAATGTTTACTAATGATCTTATTGAACATTAAATAATGATTAACAGAACATTATTTAATGTAAATTAAAATGTTTACAAATGTTATTAAACTTTCAATTTATATATGATCATGCACTTTTAACAATCTGCAAATTGTTATACACTGATTAATTTATTAATATGCATTTGAATGCTTAGAAATCTGATTAAAATGATTTATACATCTGATTAATTTTTTTTATTTATTTAAAGTTAATTGTTAATTATGAAATTAACTATTTGAATATATATATTAACTAATGATCTGTTCAACTGTATGTAATGTTTAATGATTTAAGTAAAGTTATAAAGTGTTACCATTCCTTACGTCACGACTTAAGTGGATATCAACCAAACACCAGATATTGACCACACTGTTTAAACAAATGGATCTAATTTCATCACTTAATGATTGATAGTGTGTAAGTCCCAAACATGATTCTTGAAAAACAAATGGGAGTTGTGTTCTGTGAATAAAGCCTGAGAATTGCAATTCTGAATGCCGCCTTGTGTTTGTTTGTGTCCATATTCAGATCAAAACAAAGACAGAGGCAGTTTCATCGGTGTACTTGGATGACTGTTTTCAAAGAAACATGGCCCCGCTTCAGTCGACCAGGTCAGACCTGACCCTGTTTCATATTTTCCTAGAATGTTTGTTCAGTGCTCAGAAATATCACCCAGAGCTGCTACTGTATCAGTTTGTAGGATTTAGGCAGAGCTGACCTGTGGGTTTGTGGGGCCCCAGGCAAAATCATAAAAATGGGCTCTACCAATATGGACATGATATGCCACATTTTTCATTTTGTCAGTGGAGAACGTGTAATGTTTGTCTGGCAGTAGCTGTTCTAAAATGATTACATGTACAGGTGCATCTCAGTAAATTAGAATGTCGTGGAAAAGTTCATTTATTTCAGTAATTCAACTCAAATTGTGAAACTCGTGTATTAAATAAATTCAATGCACACAGACTGAAGTAGTTTAAGTCTTTGGTTCTTTTAATTGTGATGATTTTGGTTCACATTTAACAAAAACCCACCAATTCACTATCTCAGCAAATTAGAATATGGTGACATGCCAATCAGCTAATCAACTCAAAACACCTGCAAAGGTTTCCTGAGCCTTCAAAATGGTCTCTCAGTTTGGTTCACTAGGCTACACAATCATGGGGAAGACTGCTGATCTGACAGTTGTCCAGAAGACAATCATTGACACCATTCACAAGGAGGGTAAGCCCCAAACATTCATTGCCAAAACAATTAAAAGAACCAAAGACTTAAACTACTTCAGTCTGTGTGCACTGAATTTATTTAATACACGAGTTTCACAATTTGAGTTGAATTACTGAAATGAACTTTTCCACGACATTCTAATTTATTGAGATGCACCTGTATATCTCCCAGCAGGGCCCCCCAGGCACGTTAGGGCTAGGGATATAACGGTATGAAAAGTTCTTATCACGATTATAGTGACCAAAATGATCACGATTATCAGTATTATCATGGTATTGTTAAAATGTGCTGGAAATGTTCAAAAAGTGCTGACACAAATAATTTCACTGTTTTACATTTAAAATCAACAAATAAAATGAGTTTTTGTTTGCATAACTAAAACAATAACATTGCCTATGATGTCCGGATTTTAAATGACAACATGACTGACAACAGAGTTTGTCTAATAGCATGTTCAAATATCTAATGTAAATGTTCAAATAAAGCTTTGAAAAAGTTTCATAACTGGGAAACCTCACATTTCAGCTTTTAAATAAAGAAAAGGGTCAAGTCAAAATGATAATTGATTAATAAATGATTATATGTATTTTATCTGCTTCCTAAATAATACTAGATACCTTATTGTTTAAATGTGTAGAATCCACATAAGCTTGTTTTCATCAACCGGTCAAAATTTACAGCAGGGCATGCAAATTCTGTCTATTTTTTGGCCCAGCAAAAACTGCACCCAGGCTGAATGTAAATGTAACTCTCTTGTAAATCCACGTGATTTGGTCGCAATATTTTTATTTTTTGGGGTTAATCAATGCATGCTGATTCACTTTTATCATAGTTTATAGTTATATGAAAACGAAAGTGGTTAACATTCAACTCCTCCTTTTTCATCAGTATTATTTGTGATTTAAATTTTGTGAATGGGAGTTCCTCTTTTGCTATGTTATAAGCCGGGCTTTGGGTGCTTTCACTTTCAAATTCACGATCTTGGTGTCACGTTTTACAAAAGATAATTGTCTGATTTGCTTAAATACATCTACACACCTTTCACTTTTTAAGACTAAAACAAAAGATGGATTCATTGTTATTCTTAATTAAAAAGCGTAACAACAATAAAACGGTAAGATACAATGACAAACTACCTTATAAAACGTTTATTAACAATAACAAATAGACATGGCATACACCACATGCTGTATTATATACCGACTAATAAATTACAGAACGTTTAGCAAACACTGAGGAAACAAATAAATAAAAAAGAGAGCCTCCATAGCATAACGTGAGATAAACAGCAAAGATAAAGATAGCTTTTCAAAATGAAAACAAAAAGAAAAGTAAAACTAAACTGGCTGTCGGTGACGGTGCTTGCATGTTTTTTTTTTTTTCCCCACAAGAATACCAACATGTTCACCTTTGGTTTAAGAAGCGGTCTTTTACTTTACTTTAGCATGAAACCCATCTATTGTTTCCTCAATATTTGCATCATTTTTGCTGCACGCAGCTTCGCGCTCCTGCTGACGCGGCGAGTATAAACCAGGCTCTGCACTCGAAATGCTGCGCAGTTCAAACGAGTAGCGCGGTTTCGTTGTGCTTTCAGTTTCGTTTGCCTTTTGATGTTTCTCATATGCAACAGAAATGCTGCGCTTATGAGTTAAACAATGCGCGCCAGTGCGACAACACACAAAATTTAGTCGCACCGGCAGAAATTTTTTTCGCAAAATGCATTTGGTCTCACACTGGAGCCCTGTGCAGTACAATATTTATTTATCCTCAGTTGTTCAAATCGTGGTAATTGAATACGGTTATAGCGATGATTAAAATATTAAACGGTAATACTATCCGTGGGGTATTTTATCACGATTTATCGGCAAACCAGTAATCGTTACATCCCTAGTTAGGGCCCTAGATGATCACCTGTATCGCTTATAGGATGGGCCAGTGATGGATTTGGGGATGATTCACAGTAAAACACAGAAATGTTCTGTCATATGATAGGCTCATGGGGCGTTTGTGGGACCCGTTTCAATCGCATGTCACGGGCAGTCCAGTATAAAGCGCACGACGAAGGAGTAGAGTTCAAGAAAGTAATTTTAATAAATCCACAGGGAGAACAGAACAACCACATGGGCGCAAAACAATAGCAGACCCTGAACTGAGGAAGACACAGGGTTTAAATACATGGGGAAGGTAATCAGGAAAAACTGAAACCGGTGTGGAGCAATTGGTAACTAAGGAAACAAACTAGTGGAGGGAAAACTACGACAAAGGAAACAGATCTAAATATACACATCACAGCACGAGAATTTGGATTAATAGTGTCTTTGAAATGACACCGTTATTTAGAGAACTCATGTCGCCACTAATCTTGGAGTAACTGTGGAATGAATGACCCTGGGCCCAGGATGTGGTTTCAAAGACTATTAATGTGGGCATCGCGGACCGTCTGTTTTGCTCTAAGAATATCCCTACATGGCTATGGAGACTTAACACATTTTTAAATAACAAATGTTTTAATCGATGATACAATCTACAGGAATCAAACAGTGCTTGGGGCACAAATATATATGGAATGGGCAAAATTAGCACAAGGGTGTTGTGCCCCCTTTTATGTAGTAAATAAACACACAATGCCCCTGAACAATTACACTAAAATAATTACAACGGTCGCAATTAACGCAAAATGAATAATAATAAAAAGTCTGTGGAATTATATAATTGTGGAATTAAGATTAGATCTGCTCATGCTGTATGAAAGATTTATTTTTTCGCATTTTAAGCATTGCAGTGTTGAGCATTTTAGCCAATCACACATACATCTGTGAGTGTATTCAGGTGGTTGATGCGACATATTTTCTGACATGCCCTTTGTCTGCTGGTGGGAGTGTGCTCACCTGTGTGTGCGTGCATGTGTCTGTGTGTGTTCATCGGGGGCGGAACCACCCGTGCGTGATGCAGAGAGCAGAGGAGAACTGTGCGTGACCATGTAGAGACAGAAATTACATGCCATCGTGTAAATAAGATAAATAACATAAGGCTATTTAGTTTGTTTAATAAAAGAACAAGGTATAGACCTGTTCTATAGGAAAGGTAACCTTAAATGACTTATGTTGTGATCTGGCGCTATATAGAAAATAAAATAAAATTAACTTTACTTTCAAGGGGCGCCCGCCTAATATAATGGCAGGGGAAACACTGATGTTAACATGTTAATGCATATAATGTTATTACTAATGTCTTTGCATATTCTGGTGTTTTGAGGCACAAAGTATGCTTAAAATTTCATGAATTTCAACACATACCAGAGCTGTCTGCCATTATGGCCTGGGTATACTTCATTTTCCATCCTGCTCCGTCTACCACACAGTTGAGCACACAAGCCCTTCAGAGTATACTCTGTTGACTGAGTGTAGATGGACTTGTTTGGCGCATGTGCTTTAACTAGTGGACCTTTGCTTTTGAGTGCTCAAAATCTCGCCTGTTTGAAAGAGAGTCCTGATGCTCTTTGGGGCTCCAGTAAGTTGGCTGAAGTTAGGTGATGAGAAAGAACCATTTTGAGTCAGAGGATCTTGATGAATGGAAAGACTAGGCACGAGGCCTGGCACGAACTTAGGGTGTCCTTAGAAGCGTTGTAGCTCACATCCTCATCTTCTCAGAATCTAACCGAACCGCAGACTGCAGGCGGGTCACTGATGTGAGGCCTTTAAGGCCTGAGAAGATTCACACATCTCAGGATGGGCTTGTCCAATGAGAAAGGCTGAAATTCCAAGCAGGAGGCTGGAAATACTGGGGAGTTTTATGACCCTTTGTGTGAGAGCATGGTAATTTGCATATGGAACTCGAATCAAAATTTCTAAAGATTCTTAGAACACTTATATATTGCCTATGTACCCACATATAATATAAACACTCATTTAGATAATCAGAAGACGAATTCAAAGAGACCAAACATGATATCGGTGGGGCTATATTAACTAGTGATCTATCATAACACGCACACAAAACAGTATACAATTCAAAAGACCGTATAGAAGAACAGTAATGGTATATATAATGTCCTGAGAAGATGCGTGTTCATTCACAGAAAGGTTATCCTATGAATTAATTAGAGAAGAGTCCATTTTTATGGGCATTGTGTCTCTTTCCTAAGGGTAAATGAATTGTGAGTTGTGCTCTGCCCCGCATTCCTTTGGGCAATAAAACCAGTGATATCAGCATTGGTTGCCATGGAACCAGAGGCCTGTTCTGCCTTTCTGAGGTGTTAGATGCATTTCGGGGGAAGGGTCCATAGATCCTCATAGTTGGTTTGTTGACTGAGGGGTGTTACAGAGTATTTGTTAAATATAATTTAAAAAATTGTGTGTCTGATTGGTCCAGACGCTACATTGTGCAGCCCTAATTTAATTACAGATATTAAATGACCTGTTTTTTTATTCTATGTTAACAAAATAGTGTTAATATATTTGAGTATTTTGTTGTGAGCAGTTGTGAATTGCAGTGGGCATTTGTGAGAATCTTTGGTATGTTAACTCCATTAAAGCGAAATAAAGGTCACTGTCATTGCTTCTTTTAGGTATCTCCATGAGTCTAGTGGAGTCTAAAGACGGCATTCAGTGCTTCACCTTTGAACATAATCGTGACTATCAGCAAGTCCAGTTCAAGTTTCTTGATGCGGTTGAGTCAATGGACCCCAATAACTTTGTGGTAATTTTATTGTTGTTAACCACAAACTATTTTATTTATTTATATATAATAAATATAATATATATGTAATATTATTTATTATTATTTTTATTTTATTATGTAATATTTATTATTATTATTTATTATTATTATTATTATATATATATAATAATATTATTATTATTTTTTTGTATGCAGACCTATGAGTAACAGATGTTAACTATGTATGATGACACTCTGTTTCTCTTTTTTTTCAGGTTCTCCTGCAACTTAACCCATATCACATTGATTCACTTTTGCAGCTGTCAGATGTATGTCGCATACAAGAAGATCAAGAGACTGCCAGAGATCTCATCGGTGAGGAAATTCACTGATGCGCTGAATATAAGACCAGTGATGTGTGTGTGAGAGTATGTAAGCCTGCAGGGCTCTACGCTTACATTGTTTAGTAGCAGTTGTACTCCTAATTTAAAATTATATTTAAGAGCACAGGCAAAAAATTTGTAGCACAATTAAGTCGATTTTTTTATAGTAATGTTATGTACCACAAAATATCATTCAGAAGTAAACATAAGAAACAAATCTTATCAATTATGATAGAATTCAAGAACATGGTGTGAGTCATAACAAAGGAGTTTACCTTCTGTTAAACCAAATGTAATATTTTAAGTTAATTTAAAAGGTTGAAAAAAACAACACTGTTTTACCTTGTAAACAAATGTTTAAAAACTCTGAAGTGTATTCCATGTTCACACACAGCTTTTTTTTTGTGCTTGCTTGGTTGACTGAAGGCATGAAAAGCAGCCAGTCACAGTGTGAAATGTAACTGATTTTCATTATTTAATTTAAAAACAGGTATTTAACATTACTGCAACTTAAGGCTGAACAGTTTGGCGAAACAAATCTAATTACAATTTTTCTGATAAAATTGGTGTTTCCAAATCAATTCATGAATTAATAAAAAAACTTGAGTTGTCTAAGGCCACATTCACACTGTAATATTTATATAAACCTTTCAATATGACTATACAATCAGAATCAGAATGAGCTTTATTGCCAGGTATGTTTACACATACGAGGAATTTGTTTTCATGACAGAAGCTTCCACAGTGTAACACAGTGACAGAACAAAAAAAACATGGGTAAAAAAAAAAAAAAATAGTAAATAAGGAATAAAAATGTACAAATCAACAATTGTATGTACAGGTATGTAACAATAGACAGTTGCATGTACAGGTATATTATGTGCAAATTGAAATGTAGACTGAGTATGTGTGTTAGATAAATAAGTGTATGAGTGAATAAATTGTGTGTTACACAGTTATTGTCAGGTGTTCATGAGATGGATTGCCTGAGGGATGCAGTCACAGTGCTGTCCATGATGGTGAGTGGGGGGAGTGCAGGGGGGTTTCTCCTGAAGTCCACGGTCATCTCCACAGTTTTGAGCGTGTTGAGCTCCAGGTTGTTGAGACTGCACCAGACAGTCAGCTGCTCGACCTCCTGACTGTAAGCAGTCTCGTCACCGTCCTGAATGAGGCCAATGAGTGTGGTGTCGTCTGCAAACTTCAGGAGCTTGACAGAGGGGTCTTTAGAGGTGCAGTCGTTGGTGTACAGGGAGAAGAGCAGTGGGGAAAGAACGCAACCTGGTGCGGGTGCTGGATGTGAGTTTTCCCAGCCTCGCTGCTACCTGTCTGTCAGGAAGCTGTTGATCCACTGACAGACAGAGGTGGGCACGGAGAGCTGAGTTAGTTTGGGCAGGAGGAGGTTTGGGATGATGGTGTTAAAGGCCGAGCTGAAGTCCACGAACAGGATCCTCACATAAGTCCCTGGTCTGTCTAGATGTTGCAGAACATAATGCAGTCCCATGTTGACTGCATCGTCCACAGACCTGTTTGCTCTGTAGGCAAACTGAAGAGGATCCATCAAGGGTCCAGTGATGTTCTTCAGGTGGGCCGGCACCAGTTTTTCAAAAGACTTCATGACCACAGACGTTAGAGCCACAAGCCTGTAGTCAGGAAGTCCTGTAATTTTGGATTTCTTTGGGATGGGGAGGATGGTGGAGCGTTTGAAGCATGAAGGGACTTCGCACAGCTCCAGCCAGTGTGTATTTAGCCTGTTTATACAAGACAGTATCCCCCATCCTGTGAGCATCTTCTTTGGCCTGACGGAGCTGTCTGAGTTTTGCAGTGAACCATGGTTTGTCGTTGTTGTAGGTTAAATGAGTCCTGGTAGGAATGCACATATCTTCACAGTAACTGATATAAGATGTTACGGTCTCTGTGAGCTCGTCCAGATCGGTGGCAGCAGCTTCAAAAACACTCCAATCAGTGAGGTCAAAACAAGCTTTTAAATCCTGCTCTGCTTCATTAGTCCATCTTTTTACAGTCCTTAATACAGGTTTAGCTGATTTCAGTTTCTGCCTGTAGGTCGGTATAAGATGAATGATGAATGATATTACAGTCTCTGGTGGGACATGTGATGTGCTGTCTGTATTTTGGCAGTTCACGGGAGAGATTGGCTTTATTAAAGTCCCCGAGAATGATTAAAACAGAGTCCGGGTGTTGTTGTTCTGTGTCTATGATGTGATCAGCGAGTTTCTGTAAAGCGGAGCTCATGTGCGCTTGCGGAGGAATGTAGACACTGACGAGAATGAATGAGCAAAACTCCCGTGGCGAATAGAGCGGCTTGCAGTTAATGAAGAGCACTTCTAGAGCTGAACAGCACATCTTCTTTAACACAGTTACATCTGTACACCACCACCATTGATGTAAAAGCATGTCCCGCCGCCGCGTGATTTCCCTGTTCATTCTGCGTCGCGATCCGCTCTGAACAGCTGAAAGCCCGGGAGACTCAACACGCTGTCCGGAATGGCATCTTTCAGCCCGGTTTCTGTGAAACACAGAGCAGCAGAGTTTGAAAAATCCTTATTTGTCCGGGAGAGCAGAAGGAGTTCGTCCGTTTTGTTGGGTAGAGAGCAAAGGTTGACCAGATGGGATGCTAGGCAACGGCATTCTGAATCCGCGCTGCCTGAGCTTCACAAGGGCGCCACCTCGCTTCCCCCGTCTGCGCGTCCTGAAACGCTTGATCAGCGCCGCAGCTCCCCCGACTACAATGTCCAGCAAAACATCAGAATAATTGAAAACTGGTGAAATATCGGTTGGTGTGTACTTCCGAATGTCCAGCATTTCGACTCTGGTGAAACTGATTGCAGGGATATAACTAAAGACAGGACAAACTAACAAAAACATAAAAACAACTGCGGAGCACACCACGGAGGCAGCCATCAACGTCGGCGCCATCGCGAAGAATCTTTCAGTTGCAATAATAATAATAATAATAATTGTATTATTATTTTAATTAATAAAATTAAACGCATAACAAATACTACTTGTATATTCTATATTTTACAACAGTAAAATTACAATATTAATATTTATGGTTGTCTTAATTTTTGTGCTATAGAGATATACTGTAGATAAATACTAGAGCTGGGCGGTATACCGGTTCATACTGAATATCGGTGTTTATTTTTGTTATGATATGAATTTTTTAAATACCGCAATACCGGTGTATGTCGCTTAAACAACATTCGGAACGCGACACTGTTTGAAAGGGGTTCCTTTTCACTGTTGCACTGTGGTGAGGGAACAGCTGTATGTGTTACTAAGCGTGAAAGTTCCGAAACTGAAGCTGTAGAACTAATAGAACGTGATGACACAGAAGAACTCATCCACAATATCCACATTGACCACCACAATTATCCACCGCCCCCTGCCTTCAGCTCCCGTGTCTCACACACACACACGAGTGCGACTTTAGCACTATATTTAGCAACTGTCAGACCCTTTTAGTGGCTTTTTTCCATAGAATATGCATACTGACAAACCTAGCGACTTTTTTGGATAAACCTTAGCTATGGTTCAGTTGGAGGACTTCGCCAGTGCTGTCCCATGAATGCGAGGTCTGACTTTCCCTTGAGAAGTGTCACCTCTCTCTGTGTCTGTTATGTGCAGTGAGCGGCAGAGCAGCAACGCATTCAGTTGGCTGTTTTGTAAATGAGTACAAAACAGCGTTTCCTAGCACTTACTTTACTGATTGTTTGGAATTATAAATATGAGCGTAGTTCGTCTGTTAATATTACATGCCCTTTTTTTTTTTGTTTGTTTGTTACTCAGACGCAGGCAGTGTGCTGCATGAGACAAAGTAGAAGTAGTACAGCCAAAACAACCGCATAGCAGCTCTTTAGTGTAGGTGCATGTTGATTTCATGTTGACTCCTTGTTAACATGTATGAAAAAAAGGGGTCGTGTTTAGTCCACTTTAGTGTGGTATTTTTTGACAATATTCACTCATCATGACAGTAAAATATGGCATTATAAGTCAATATACTGCAGTATTTCCTCTCAATCAGTAGAAAATATGGTTAACACCCGGTCATGCATGAAAAAAAAAAATACCGTCATGTACCGTGAAACCGGTATAATTTCGAAAAATACCGTGATATAAATTTTCGGTCATACCGCCCAGCACTAATAAATACCATAGAGATATTATTTTGATGAAAACTGCAAGGAGAGATTAGAATTTAGTCAGGTTAAGGTGCCATATTAAATATAACACATTTGAAAACAAGGCTGTGAGGGATAAACTTGCAGTCTTTACAGTGGCACCCACACTGTAATTTTCAAGTAATTTAATAGTGTTTTTGTTTACTTTTTTTTTTTTTCTCTCTCTCTCTCTCGGAAAAACTGGTTCATCAACTGAACACTAGGTATGTTGTTTAAATAACCGTGCATTCCAAGTTCTATTGCTTAGAGCCTTGTTGTCATTCCTGTCAAAAAATAAATATGGTGCTACCCTGTCTAAGGTCTTTTATAAATAATTCTCATTACAAGCTTGGGAAGATGGTTGGCATGGTGTGTTTTCAAATACACATCATAAGTGAAAGTGACCCAGAGATGGTGTTTGATGTATAGAAGAGATGATAATGTGTTTAAAATATAAGGGAATATACAGTACAGCATTTGTTTGTTTTGTTTGTCTCTGCAGAAAGAGCTTTATATAGTTTTGAGTGTGCATTCCACCCTGTGTTCAGCCTGACGTCAGGCACGTGCCGACTGGACTACTGCAGACCAGAGAACAGGTGAGACATTCATTACAGTCATTATCATGTTGCAGGTGCCCAGAAAGATATGCTGCACACTAATTCTTGTTGGTATTAACGTCTACATTAACGCTATAACGTATATTGTTATTATTCATCATTGTTTTTTTGGAGCACCATTAAGAGAAAGCATAACTTTTGATGAAATCTCTCTCACTCTCTTCTGTATCTACAGGGCCTTTTATTTAGTGTTGTTCAAGCATATGATATTTCTGGAGAAGAGAGGTTGTCCACGTACAGCCCTTGAGTACTGCAAACTGATTCTGAGGTACTAGCCCACATCAGATTAATACAATAAATTTATCACATTCATAAGACAAAATCCATCATCCATGGTCAGTCAGCCAGACGTATTGTATAAAACATGACCGGTCATTTTTTAAAATCTTTTTAAATATGCTTCCAGTCTGGATCCAGATAATGACCCTCTCTGCATGCTGCTGATCTTTGACTTCCTGTGCCTGCGCTGTCGCGAGTACACCACCCTCATCCGACTCTATGAGGAATGGGAGGTAAAGAACTTATCGTACTGAACTGCCACAACATGTCAATTGGGTTCTTGTCAGGACTTTGACTAGGCCTCTCCACAACTTTAATTTTGCAGAGGTTGACTTGCCGCTATGCTTTAGATCATCGTCTTACTGCATAATGTTGTTGCATTTAAACTTCAACTTAAACTTCAACCGAAGACCTGACATTCTCCTTTAGGATATTCTGGTAGAGAGCAGAGTTTGTTTCCTTCAATTATTCCCTCAAAAACGTTGCCCAGGCCCTGAAACAGTAAAACATCCTTCCAACAGCACACTGCCACCACTATGTTTGATCGTAGGTATGGTGTTCTTTTTGTAGAATTTGGTGTTTGGTTTACGCCAGATGTATAAGGACCCCATCTTCCAAACAATTATAGTTTCAACTCCTCAGTCCACAAAAATTCTCCCAAAATGTTTGAATTTCATCAAGGCAAAATTCAGTCAAGCCCTGAAGTTATAATGGGTTAGCAGTGGTTTTCTCCTTGCCACTCTTACATGGGTGTCACTTCCAGGGCTTGATCAAGCCTCCTTGGGGGTAACCTCCAGGGATTTTTGGCCTGCCCAAAAGCGGGCCAACTAAGGTTTGAGGAGTTGTTATGAACAGAGGTGGAGTTTATCTGAATCAGGTGATGGTTACGTGGAATTCACACTGGGCGTCGGCATTTAACACTTCTCATTTACGTTGAATGGGTTTTCTTTCATCTTGCCCTTGCTGGGTTGTGTGGCATTCTGTGGAGGTGTGTTAAGGGTGGGTTTTATAGTAGCACTGAGGGGCTACTGGTCTGACAGTGGAAAAGCAGCTTGAGTTAGCTATATTGGCAAATACAGTATCACACAGGCCCAGTTGGTATTAGATAACCATTTTTGCTTCAGTATATAACATTATTATTAAAAAACTGTATTTACTCAGGTTGCCTTGTTTTGTTGTATTTCCTTTGACGATCTAAAACACTTTATGCACTCAAGCCGGAGTAAAATGCTGCACTAATACAGTCTCATGAACACGCAGTCATACTAATGGCCAAGGTCAGGATTTTTGCTAAATAATAAAAATTCAATTTTCCACCCAACCCTATCATATGCTCTCAGAAACTTGGAAAATACAGCATAAGTATGAGAAAAAAAATTTACAACTGGAAGGCAATTGGCAGTAAACATCAAAGCAGCTTCCTTTTTTTGGGTTACTGGTCACGAGGAAAACAGACCGTTCACAATGAGTGCACTGTACCCAAAAAGGAAGTAACTTGTGATTTACTTGAATCTAGCCAAAAGATTGTCTAAATACGGGCTGTATTTAGTAATCCTAACAAGCCTAGTGATGAAAGCTGTAGTCTTATTTGAGAATAAAATAACATTAAGTATATACATATTTTAAATACACAATGCCTATGCTACTGTTCATGCTACTTAAATATGTACTGCATGCTTTCATCTCAATAACAAAATAAACTTGTAACAAAAATGAAAGTAGTGAGAAAACAGCAGTTAAGAAATCATCTCATCGTGTGGATATGTTTGCACCTGCTCTGTAATTTGGCACTCCAGTCAGCTCACTTTGTTTATTTATATAGCATTTAACAAACAATAGATTGAAAGCAGCTTTACAGAATTACAACTTCAAATTCTATTATAAAGCAACTCTCCAGTGCATTCATGTTTATATTCGCATCTGACCTTGTTGGCTAAAGGAAGAAATGTTCTGATGTCATTTTATCTTGGAGTTATTTTTTTTATATAAAAAAAGATGCAGCTTTAACAAGGTTTGTGTAGATTCTTATATCCACTGTAGGTATTGTTTGTAGGTTTTAGTCTCTGACCAGTTACTGATGTATCTTCTCAGCATCTTTTCACAACACAAATAACCTTCAATAATGCATATTCAACAGTTGACCAATAAATAATTAATGTTTTTAGTGGTGGAGATGCAGTTGTCAAACATTTGGGACACAACAAGCAATCTGTTATGCTACTAAATAGCTGTGCTTAGCGTCTAAATCAGGGGTAGGCAACATCGGTCCTGGAGTGCTGATGTCCTGCAGAGTTAGCTCCAACCCTGAAAAAAAAACCTAACTTGTCTGAAGCTTTAATAATCCTGAAGACCTTGATTAGCTTGTTCAGGTGTGTTTGATTAGGGTTAGAGCTAAACTCTGCAGGACAGCGGCACTCCAGGACCGACATTGCCTTTCCCTGGTCTAAATAATACACACTTCACACTGGTACTTTGCACATTTAACATTATCTGTACTTCTGTTGATTCAGGTCCATCGAAATCTGTCGCAGCTGCCAAACTTTTCCTTTTCTGTGGCTCTTTCCTACTATCATCTGAGCCAACAGGAAGACATTTCACCTGTGGAGAACCAACAGCTGAAGCAGAAATCCAATGTACTATTGCAAAACGCTCTCATCATGTTTCCTGGTGGTGAGTTTCAGATTATTTCAACTTGTTTTCCACTTTTCTTTAACAAACTTACATTTTGTATTTAAAAACTAACTTTAAGGTAAGAGGGCCCAACAAATAAATTTAAACCAAACAGCGCAATGTTATATTGTTTATTGTAAAGAAGAAACCTGGCTGTTAACACAAGTAGAGTGCATAAAAATGTTTAAAGTGCAAAAAATTCATTTTCTTTTTCTTTTTCTTTCTTTCCTTTCTTTCTTTCTTTTTCTTTCTTTCCTTTCTTTCCTTTCTTTCCTGGTTGGATGTGGAGACAACAACTAATAAAACAGACCTACAACACGCTCCTTATAAAGATTAATAAATAAAAATGTAAGCGGAGAAAACTAAAACAATAGTACTTTGCTGTATTTTATAAATTTAACAGAGAAATTTATCATTAAATTTAAATTAGAAATTTTAACATTGGCTCAACTTCTTAAACCAGAAGAATGAAATGGCTAATAAAAATGAACTTTTCTCAGTACTTTTTATTTTTTAGGGATGCACCCTATCGGGCCCGATATTGCACTCCTGTACTCATTAAAATGCTCCATTACTACTTAGCGTGTGAACAGTGCTGTGTGCAGACAAAGAAACACCAACAACAGAGAGTAGAATGGAGGTATTCGAGATTAAGTTGGCTGTTGCATATGAACTTGATGTCCCATCTGAAAAGTGCCTATAATTTGTGTATTTTGAAGAAAATATCCTTTAATTATTCAGTAATTCATGTTGTTTTCATTCATTTTACTCTGACTATAATGCTAAATTAAACTAAATATTAAGACATTTTACATGTTAAAGGGGTCATGAACTGAGAAATCGAAATTCCCATCGTACTATAAAAACATTATGTAAGTTTCACAACTCAAAACTTTCTCATTAGTCTAAAAAGAGCTTATATTGAAGCCAATCTGCCAAAATGACAGGTAGTGGAATGTGCCACTTTATTAAGTAATAATGTGGCTAAACACCCCCTCCGCAGAATATCAACACCTGCTTCTACATCACTACCTGTTTAGCCCCGCCCACCAGAGAGAAGATCAATACAGGATCACTACTAGACTAAAAAAACATTACCTTTCAAAGGATCCTAATCCTAGGAAAGTGATGATTTATTTTTAACTATGTGGATGTCCAAGTAGAGCATTATTTGTTTGTTCAGTACATTTCACTGTGGATTATTTGGTAAATAAGTTGCCGTTTTGGCGCAGGCTTTGCAAACAGACATTTACTGTAAGATATGGAACTGACAGTAATACGACAACATGTAAGTAACAGTGTTAATTATAATGCCTAATCTTAAATTAGCATTAGCTCCTCCCTTCCATATGCCTACTCTGCTCTGATTGGTCAGCGGGCCAAGTCTGTTGTGATTGGTCTTTCCGTATACAATGCGTGTCGGAAATGAAACTCCCATTACCATAATTAATTTTTTGCTCCGGAGGGTTACTTGTAAACAGGGTTGGAGGGTTACTTTTAAAATGTATTCTGTTACAGTTACAAATTATTTCATTAAAAAAGTGTTCAGTAATGTAATCCAAGTACCACAATATAACAGTAATGTAATCTGATTACTTTTGGATTACTTCAAGTTACATATGTAAATCAAGTCAAAAAAGCAATATCTAAGTACTTTTATTTAAAGGTGTAATAGGTGATTGTCTTCAGAAACATTTTTTGTTATGCTGGTTGAAAGTCTCTTCACATCCCGATAGCAATCATTAAGTTAAGTGGTCTAAATGTATTCATCTGTATTTATATATTCTGTGGAAGGCGTAGGACCAAGAAATGTTCGTCCAATCAAAACGCTCGGTCCGAGCGTTTCATTAAGCTTTCCTACCTGCCTGTCAACATATGTATCTGCATACCTCTGCGCACCCGGTTCGCGCAAGACAGGACACTATGGGGGTAGAATTGTTGCTTAATTCCAAACGGTCCCCCCGTGTGGTTCTGGGATTTTTGCTCTACAGGCCTCTCTCATCTTTTTAAGTGGGAGAACTTGCACAATTGGTGGCTGACTAAATATTTTTTTGCCCCACTGTATATGTTTATGTAAAAGGCTATGCAGACATCTAGTGGCTATACAGTTTAGTATTAGTTTTATTTTTTTATTTCTTTAACATGTACAAGTAAAAATAAATATCGTTTATACACAACATTTAAAAATGTTTATTAAAAGTCTATTTTAAAATAAGCCTACATTTCAAAATGTATGTGAAATGGTATGATCTTTCTTTATTTCATTGACTGATCTGTGGTGTGGGGACTCTCGTGTTGATTTCTACGTTTTCCAGCTCTTTTTCCGCTAGAAAACTTACAACTGCAGTCATGCACACCATGGAATTTTAAATCACTAACAAACACAATTTTAGCTAACATGATGATTTCCATGCTAGTCGTACCTGCAAATGTTCAAGTTGTTTGAGTAGCCTTTGTTAAAGCAAGAGTCTTCATGCATAGCTTACCCTGTACAACTATTTTATTTCCTTTATCCTTTTTGAAGACAAAATATCTGAAATTTCCAGACATGAAAACGTTTTTCCCAGCAGGAAGCATCGTAATTAACTGTAGCAGCGTCTCATCCTGTGTTTGAGGAGAATAATTGTAGACGGCTGTTATTTGCGCACGCACCAGCAGGTGGCTCACGTGAGTCAACAGTCAAAAGAAACAGAAACTACTGTATGATGAATCAGCGCTAAATATAGTGTTATGTCAAAAAATGTAATCCTGATAGTATTCCCACTTTTTACAAAATGTAACTGTAATCTGACTACTTTTTTGATGTAACTGTAACGGATTACAGTTACTAGATTTTTGTATCCTGATTACGTAACGCCGTTACAAGTATTCCGTTACTCCGCAACCCTGCTTGTAAACATGCTATAAGGTTACAAAAATGGCATCTATATTACCTTATCAATTCGAGCCCGAGTCTGAGGATGATACCGATGCAGTTGCTCAACCGGAAACTCTATGGCAAGCACGACTTGATCTGGTCATTTCTCAGTGGTAAGTTTAAACTTTGTATGTGGTACTTTACGTGATGTGACAGCAGTTTTATTGCATTCATTATTATTATTATTTACTTATTTGAGGTACACGTGTGGGAACTGTGTTAGAATGCCCAGTGAGGCTGAAAACACAGCGTCTTCCAGGGCTCCAGACTGCGACTAACACGGTCGCATTTGCAACTAAAAATATTAATTTGCGAGTGAAGTTTTTTGCTGGCGACTATATAAATGTACATGTTATGATTTAAAAATTTGCATCTAATTTTTTTTCTGATTGTTTTGCGATCACATCTTTTGTTAAGTTGACATAATAAACGGAGTCGATGTGCATCAAAGTTTTAGTGGAAAATCAGTCCTCATCTCTGCTGAACAGCAGCGTTGATGGCACATCTGCTAAAATCAGCTCCAGATGTGCAGCACGAGAGAGTGGAGACGTGCAAAGTAAAAGTGCAGAAAAGCAGTGTCTATTTCATGCGCAACTTGAACAAACTGCAACAGGTAAAGCTGTCAGCTGTGTGGATATTAGGGCTGGTCCGAATACCATTTTTTGAGCTTCGAAGCTTCGGTAGTAATCAACACCGAATATTCAAAGCTTCGGAGGGAGGGGGCTGAACATATTCTTCTCTCTAATAAAGGCAGGAATCTCTGTGTGTCTGTTTGCATTTTTATTATGTCGAGAATAGGGTTGTGACGGTGAGGAAATTTTCCCACCGGCTAATCGACGTGGGACAACACGGATAATACCGGTATCACCGTGGGGGCAGGGGTGTTTCCTCTTTTCCTCGCTTTCCTTTGCTTTTAAATAGCTTGTAAATGCAGCGTACACATTTTACTTTCGCTTTCAAATAGCGGCAATTCAACGTTAAGCAATTGCTCATTTTTAGTTTGTTTGATTTTTCCTTCTTTTGCTCGTTTTCCTTCGCTTTTAAATAGCTTAAAAGCGCTGTGCACATTTTACTTTCACTTTCATTTTCAAATTGGCGGCAATTCGGCTTGAATGCAACAACAAAATACAACGTCAAACTCACTTTAGCCTATATATAAAACAGAACTTTTATTTACAAAACGAATAAAAATAGGCTACACCATGCTATAGGGCAGGCTATGTCTAATATAAAATAACAAATAACTTGCATAAAGTTTAAATGGGTATAGCCTACAAAACTGGAAATAAGTAAAGATGTAGCCTATAATATATAACCAAATAAATAAGAAACGTAGAACGTTTATTAGCAAAACAAGCATACACCTTGATGTCAAATAAAGAAATTACACAAAGTTTAAATAAAGTAAAAATCAGCAAACACTGTGGAACCAATTAAATAAGAAACAAACGTTTAAAAAAACTTCCAAAATCACCTTGGATAAATGGTAAAAGTTAACAGGCTTTTCAAAATCCAAAATACTGCCAAACAGGTGCTTTTTGCATTTCGTTTCGAAACTAAATCATCCGACATCGTCTTGTCTGTCTCACCCCACTCTTCTTGTCAGTCAGCTCGACTCACTCTCCTCACTGGATAAATGAAATCTGATCTGTGATGCGACTGTTGTTCGGCATGCTGCATTGAGCAGCCACGTTCAGTTTTTAATTGTAGTGTCTGTTCTTTTACTGAACTAAATTATTTTTACTAGGCCTAGTATAAAAAAATCTAAACAACGGCGGGGGTCGGTGCCGCGGTGGGCAAGTGACGTAACCAGTGTTGCGGCTTTCTCAGTGGTAAGTTTAAACTTTGTATGTGGTACTTTACGTGATGTGACAGCAGTTTTATTGCATTCATTATTATTATTATTTACTTATTTGAGGTACACGTGTGGGAACTGTGTTAGAATGCCCAGTGAGGCTGAAAACACAGCGTCTTCCAGGGCTCCAGACTGCGACTAACACGGTCGCATTTGCAACTAAAAATATTAATTTGCGAGTGAAGTTTTTTGCTGGCGACTATATATGTGCATCAAAGTTTTAGTGGA